CGGCGTGGCGGTCGCCGCGTCCTCTCCGGCAGGGGGGCCGGCAGCGGGCGGCGGGCAGCCTGTTCGCCTTTGCCTTCTCCCCCGTCGTGATTTTAGCTCGGGAGGGAGCCGGAGTCGCTGGTGGATCGCCCAGGGGAGATGGGGTTTCTCGTTCCACTCTGCAGTCTTCACTGCCTTAAAATACGCGGGGGCATAGGCGGTCCCAAGCGGTGTTCGCTTCGCTCGGGCGATTCGGGGTTTTGTCTGTCAGAGCGGGAAGGCGGGGGAGGCCTGGTGTGCGGCGGGGAAGCGCCGGGGCCTCTGGAGCGGTTTCTCTCTCGCTCAGGCGCAGGCACCGTCTGTCTCCTGTCACTAACAGGCAGGAGGGCTTGTGCCGAGCTGGAAGGGGGGGAGGTGGCGCTGAAACAACCTCCTCAGTGCTGGGGGACAGGGTGGTGGGCGTCCTCCAGGGTGCTGGCAGCTGGGGAAGGTTGTGCCTTGGCGGGAGAAAGCTGTGTGCCGGTGTCCCCGGCTTTCTGCCAGCCCCGCTTTGATGGGCCCTCGTTTCAGGCAAAGCCTGCGCTTCTGAGGTTGAGGTAAAGGCGGTATTGGCAAGGGCAAATGAAATACACATTTCAAGAACGGATTGAAGTATAAGGAGTAAGGTTGGTCCAGTTCCCCTATCACGCACACTGGAGGTGTTGAGCTGAGGTGTAGCGTCACGGTGCTGCACGGGACTGGGGTTTTTGGTGGTGTTGATGTGGGCAAGATTGTCTTCTGAAACTGCAGAGGCTGTTTATGCCAGTTAATTTTCTATAATTGTAATACATTTGCTGTTTGAAAACTTTTAGTTCTGTGCACATAAACACCAGTGTCTCATTTCCTGTAGAGGATTATGGCCGTGCCTTGGCCAAGATAATGTTTGGAGATAAAGGCTTCCTGTTCTCCCTTATCCCTATCACCCACCCTCGTTTAGGGGTTTGCTTGTAGTACACTTTCTAAACTTTAAAGAGGCAGCTTATTAAACAGGCAGTGCTCTGATTTCTCTTATTGAGATAAAAGAAACATGCAGTATTTGAAAAGGACTTTAAATATTTTTAAGTAACTTTTTTTTTTTAATTCAGGTTCTCTAAATAAGGCAAAATCTGTTGCTTAATATGAAGAAAAGCAGAGGTCGGACAGGTCGAAAGAGAAGAAGAAAACACTTACAGAGTTTTATAGATGGAGGTACTGTCCATGGAAGTACTGCTAAATAATAAAATAACCTATTGTTTATCAAGGTGTTGTTTTATGGTATATATTTGTCAAACACCTTTGTGCTTTGAAAATAACATTCATAAATGTTAGCCTTTTCTATGCAAATATTCTAGCATTAGTTTACAGTCCCAGGCAGGGCATGGTGAATATTGTGAGCTCTCTTTTCTGGCTAATGGCGAGCACTATATTATTCTTAAATTCCTTGATCCTTGAATATGCTGACTAACTCCTACAGTTCTGAGAGCTCCCTGTGCCCAGGGGCCCAGAACTTAGTAATTAGTTCGAGGGGAGCTTTTCTTGCTATTCTATTATGCTATACCAAAAAGTCCAAAATACAGTTTTTCTGGCTATACAGTAAAATTTTTCAATTTCCTTTCTTTTCCAATGGAGTGCTATTTTATAGCATTAATCCCCTCTTTTTTATTTTTAGTCAGCTGCAGTCACAAGCTGGAATACATTAAACTTAAGAAGTGGCTGAAAGACAGAGGATTTGAAGACAGTAATTTAAGGCCAGCAGAGTTCTGGGGTAATGTTTCAATTACTTATTGGTGGTACAAATTTCTGATTCTTCTAAAAATGTTAGATTCCTGCTTTTGTTTTGAATCACGCACCTGGCTGGCATCAGGAAAAAACCCAGTTACCATTAGTCTTTTAAGGACTTATAGCAAGTGCACTTGAATGTCATTTAACATAAACAAGTAGATATGGAGGCCTGAAGTAGCATAAACTGTTTCTTATATGAAGATGATCTTGGGTAAAACTCTTGTATGAGAATACTCTGGTATGCTGCAAAAAATGCACACCTATGCTGAATTCCTTGTAGAAATAGAGATTTTAAGTGTTAATATCACAGTTTTAAAGAACAAAGTAATATATCTTTAAGTGTTTCCAGTATTGGAACCTAACCTTGTTGTCATTTCTTCATCTTTTTTTTTGCCCATGCAAGTTCAGGAGATCTAGTGTTACAGATAAGTAAATGATTTTAGAGCTGGGATTCACATAGCATTGTTTACAGTAAAGGTATATACTTGTATTTTTTCTCTTTAAGTAGATTATGTTTCAAAAACTTTTGCAATATTAAAGAGAGAGTAGAGAGAATAGGATGAATGAGAGAAAAATATTGTGAATAGAAATTGTAAAGTTTAGTTAAAACTCTGAAACCAAGAACAGCAGCCAATGATGAAAGGTGTGTTTAAAGAAAAAGTTGGGAGAAAGAAGTCGCGTAATTGCTAGAACTGGACAGCAAGTCTTGCAGGCCAAGGACTTTCACAGGGTCCTGAAAAGTAAGAAGAGAATCAGAGAACAAAGAAATGAGGTATATACCTGGAACAATCCATAATTGGCTTTTATGATTTGTAAGAGATAATGTATGTTCTTTTAGAGCTTTTCCTTGCTGGCCTGTTAATTTATTGCAGCTTATCATAGTCTCCTGTATTTTATGTGTATACATGTACTTAAGCATCCTCTTTGTTCCTGCTTCAGATACAGGAAGAGGACTGATGACAGCAAAAGCTCTTCAGGTTAGTAATGTTGATTCTAATGCAAGTGCTCCTCAGTTTCTTTTGAGATGTAATGACTTTTGCAACAAGCAAAGCTCAAAATTCCAGACAAGGTCTTCATAGTCCCTGTTGTGAATGTAACTTCTGGCCTAATACCAGAATTTGCAGTGTTGGCATGTAAAATGTAAAATGATGTCCTATGTACCCTGAGAGCTTGTTGGATGAAGATATTCCTGTGCTCATTTACAGAGATTTACTATGTAGTCTTGTGTTTCAGTTTAAGGCAATCAGTGGCTAACTGAAACCAGAAGGAGCAGGCTCCTTCCCTCCTGTATGCCTTCTCCCTCAGCCACTGGCTCCTACAGCTTCCTTTGCACTGGCTGTAGCAGTCTTCCCCACTTGTGTGATAAGTTGCATCAGGAAGCTAAACTAATAGAAAACTCTCTCTTCAAAAAAATCATTAGCTTTGATAGGTTTGCTCCTTGAAATCTCCCACCTTGGTCAGACCAGTGCTGGTACAAAGGGAGGAATGGCATATCAGGGAGAGGAATGGAGGAAAGGGATGGGGCTTTAAGCAGCATTTGGCCATAATGTGAAGCCACAGCTTTAACCTCACTTTGACGGCCCTCTTCTTTGTTGGTAGACCAGCTAATAGAAACCTAATTTCTCAGACATTCCCAGCAGAAAAGGGGAATGATAGAAAAAATACCTTGCCCTTCAGATATTGGCACAGAAAGACTGAACTCTGACTGAAAAGTGCCTTTCTGAAAATAGGCTTGTTGGAGAAGTTTCCTAACTGGTATGAGAATAGTATATCAAATAATGGAGAATCAGATCCAGAACCTTTTGCAAAATAGAGAGTATAGCAAGAAGTAGGAAGGAGATGCAGTGGAAAAGTCATGTGTAGAGAACAGTGTATGTTCTCATGCTGGCTTATGGTTAGAGCCAGCAGTTGAAGCCAGAGGCTTAGGTTATCCACAGTGCTGGGATTCTGCAGTAAGTGAAATGAGAGCTAGACTCAACTGGTCTTGAGCAAGGTAGGAAAGAGCAGAGGAATGGGAAGGAGAAAGTATTGACTTGATTCATGTCCTCTCCCTACAAAAATGGACACATATGGCTCAAACAGGGCATGAAAGCTAATTTACACACACAGCAGCTTGGCAAACAAGGTCAGGATAGACATGACCTAAAATATCCCTACCCCATACTGCTATGTTGATAGAAGTTCATCTGTTTCTGAGCTCTAATCTAAAATATATCTCAGTACAAAGAAAGTGAGTAGCCGGGCACCAGACTTTCTGTGAACAACTAACTTTCTGCAGTTGACAGTTCCTACTGACTGCAGTCATCCTCCTTCCCTGGACTGGGACTGTCTTAAAACCATGTCAGTTTCCATCAAGTTCATCACATCTGTTTGCTTACTGACATTAGTGTTCTCTGAGGAATGTCTCTCTCTTCAGAAATCGCATAGTAGATGAGTCATTTACACTTGATCTTTACTATTCTTTGTGTGTGATGGTTTTTTTTTTTCCTCCCTCAAAGGCAGGGGATCTGATTATTTCATTGCCGGAGAAATGCTTACTCACCACGGGCACTGTCCTTAGTAGCTGCTTGGGAGAATACATTATGAAGTAAGTGAAAAGTGACACTTTCTGGGCAAGCTGGCCTTTACTGTGGGTTGCTCATTAGTAGATTAATCATCTTAAATGGTGGTAGGGCTTTAAACTGCATCCCCTAACTTGTATGAGTATTTCTTGTGGACTTTCATGCATGTGGAATGCTCAGATAAGTAAGATATGGACACGGAGCATCCACTTTTAGCTAGGCTGAGTTGGAGGGATGGTACAGGCTTGAACTTGACCTGTCTCGAGAGCCAGCTTGGACCTAAACGCCAGTTATGTATGGTTTCTTGGGAATTTGTGATTATGCTTCAGTAGGAGAAGGAGGATGAAATGGGATTGCAAAGCAGTCACATGAACATAGCCTTTTAGAAAATTCAGAACAAAGACCTATGCTGGACATTGAGTAGTTCTTATATATCCTAAAAAAACCCCAACTCCCCAAAAGAAAAAAAACAACCCAAGAGGTGAGCCTGAAATTGTTACTACAAACCAGCTTTTATAGCCCCTTTGAAATCATCAAAAGGACTTGGAGATGAACTACAAAAAAGTTTAAAATAGAAGCTATTTATAACATTTAAAAGAACTAGAAGAGAGATAAAATACTGTTGCATCAATTTCCTATCTCACCTCTGTGTATCTGCTGTGTTGGTATTTTTATTTTATTTTCTAATAGATGGAAGCCTCCTGTATCTCCTTTGATAGCACTATGCACATTTTTAATAGCAGAGAAGCATGCTGGTGAGAAATCTCTGTGGAAGCCATATCTTGATGTTTTACCCAAGACATACACTTGCCCTGTTTGCTTGGAGCACGATGTAGTAAGCCTTCTTCCTGAACCTTTAAGAAAGAAGGCTCAGGAGCAGAGAACGACAGTCCAGGAGTTGTACATGTCTTCCAAGGCTTTTTTCTCTTCCCTGCAGCCTTTGTTTGCTGAAAACACAGGAACTATTTTTAACTACAGTGCTCTAAAGTGGGCTTGGTGCACTATTAATACAAGGACAATATACATGAAACATTCACAGAGGGAATGTTTTTCTCTTGAGCCAGATGTTTATGCATTGGCACCATATTTAGATTTGCTAAACCACAGTCCAAATGTTCAGGTAAGGAACTAAAAATAGATCACTTCATTTCTTTATTTGTAAATGCACTATCTCAATACAGCATGCATTTATGTGATGGATTAGAAGTGTCTGGAGGTCAGTGAGAGATCTCATAGTAGGAAAAATGTCTACTGAGGACATGTGCAGGCTGAGTACTCATGGTTCATATATACACTGGAGCTTGTTATTCAGCCCAAGGCAGTTGAATAAAGATGATTCAAATGTTTATGTAGCAAAGCAAAGTTACAGGGAGAGCCCAGAATGGCTGGGTGAGATTTGCATGCAGGGTAGCTACTGGGAAGAGCCACTTGTAAATGTAGCCCTACTCTGCTCTCCTGAAAGGCTCAGCTCCTGAAACAAATCGCAAGTTATGTGGTCCCTGTGTTACTTCACCTCTGGCTGAAGCTTCTGAGCAGCCTTAGGAAAGTGTATAAAGCAGTTCCACTTTATGTCAGGGACTGTGTGCCAACTCATTGTTGGGACAGCACAGAAATAGTCAAGTCTGCAGGAAGCCATCTTTATTTGTGGATTTGGGGCCTCTGTAATAAATCTGCGCAGTGGGTGGCACATCCTGCAGACTAAGGTTTTGATGTTTGTTCTTCATACTAAGGGGTTGCCTTTTCAGACATATGTAACACTATCTGTTTTCTTTCAGTGTTAGAGAAGTGTTCGATACTGTTGGATTTTAATATTCTGATTCCTTTTTCACCCTGTGAAGAGTAAAACCTTTTATTTTTAACTTCTTGAAGGTAAAGGCTGCATTTAATGAGCAGACAAGAAGCTATGAAATTCGGACAAATTCACAGTGCAAAAAATATGAAGAAGTATTTATCTGCTACGGGCCTCATGATAATCAGCGACTGTTACTAGAGTATGGATTTGTTGTCATGGATAACCCTCACAGCACTGTTTATGTCTCATCAGGTTGGATTTATAGATTGTCTTGACATTGAAAGGCACAGTAGTAGAGAACAGAGCATATGAGCATGTTAATACTGTCTGTCTTCAACAGGAGATGTTGGTAAAAAAGGATAACTAAGGGATTATAAGGATACAATCCTGGAGATTGCTGATAGCTTTTGAGAAGTAGATACATTTTTGGTTATGTTAAAGTTCACCAAAATGTAGCAGGTTTTGATCTTTGTCTTGTAGCTACTTGAAAAATATGGCTGAAATGTCATTTCAGAATTGAGAATTGTGGTTTCTTCTACATACCATTTATTTAAATATCTAAAATGTGTTTTTATGCAGATATTCTCCTCAAATATTTTCCACCACTGGACAAGCAGAGAAATACAAAACTTTCCATTCTAAAGGATCATGATTTCTTAGAGTAGGTATCTGAAGTTATTTTGTTTCCCTGTGAGCTTTTCTTTTCAGTTTTTCTGGGAGTAAAATTTTGCGTTTAGTATCAAAATCCAGCATAAAATAATTATTCATTTTTTTATCAAACGGATTTGCTTGCTGTCTGTGAGAGAATGTGGAAGTGGTAAACACCAATATCAAAGCCTGAGATAGGTTTCAAGGTACAGCCTGTCTGGATAGCAGCAAAGTACGGGGAGTCAAGGAGTCCTCTAGTTTCAAAGAGCAGATCTTGCCTTGTTGACACTTGTCAGGAAGAAAGCTATCACACTGTAACAGATCACTTATACTTTCTGCATCTGATCACTTCTGACTTTTTAGAAACCTGACCTTTGGATGGGATGGACCGTCTTGGAGACTCCTCACAGCCCTCAAGTTGTTAAGTCTCAGAGCAGATGAATTGTAAGTTTCAGCACTCTGAATATTTAGACAATGTGCATGTGCCATTTTCTTTTATTTGCTCTTTGCTGGCTGTGTGTGAGATACTGGGACAATTGTTTTGGATCTCCTGTGTCTATCTTATTGACTCCAGGTGAGAAGTGAAAAGAAGAAAGGCAGAGAACACCATATAATGTAAAGTCATTGCCTATTTGCTGCTTTGGTCTTTTGCTTTCTTGTATTAAATACTAGACACACCTCATTGTTTTCCCTTTCTATTTCAAGAACCAGATATTATTTTAAGGTTCAGATTCCAGACCTTTTTCCTGTTGGTTTGATGGGACTTTAAATGCTGTTGACCTTCCTTGATTTCTTTGAAGCATGTGTTCCACAGGCTGCTTCTGAAATTCATCTCCAGTGACTGTCAGCGCAGGTTTGATCATTTGTTCCAAATGGCAAATCTGCCTCAAACAGCATTAATAGAAAATGGTTACCTGGGCTTTGCTTGTAATAGTAAATAAATAAAAATTTTTTCTTTTGTTCAAAGCTGTTCATGCTTTGAAGATTCATTGCTGACTGCAATAAGTTGATTATAAGAACTAAAAATAAATCCCCATGATACTGGTTTCAAGCCCTGTGACGGGAAGTTTAGCAGAAGCCATGCTAATAAGTTCTGAGTGAATAGCTTCTACTCCTTGCTGGTGCTGCTGGAGTTGGTGACAGCATGGCAGAGCAGTAAAGACCAGAGACATTGATCTAAGTGCAGACTGTGGCTTTGGCTGAAGGGGTAGGGGTGGAGCATTGAAACCGCTGCTCCAGACCGTTAAATCTCTGTTCTCTTTTGCTTGCCTTATCAGTCTCATATCTGAATGCTGTGTGCCTTTTTCACGTATGCTAACCTTACTTGCCTTACGCCAGCGATGTTATTCTTAGCATAACCATATGTTTATCATTCAGCTGGGGAATATCGCAAATGATTGTGTGTTGTTCAAACATTTTGGTTCTAGTACTTGCTGGAGAAGAACGCTGCTTGGTGATGTAATTTCAGCCAGAAACGAACAGCAGACTCTGAATATAACAGCAAAAATATGCCATTTTTTAATACAAGAGACACAGCATGTCCTTCTCCAGGTAATTTAACTGGAAGAGCAAGGTAGCCCAGATTCCTTTCTCTCCTAGCATAAATGTACAGCAGTGTAATTTTCTGGGATGAGAACAGAGTGATGGAAGGAATTGACTACACTGGGGTGGCATAGAATTTGTTTCCAGGGTGACTGACAGCACTGAACTGCTCAGCAGAATTTGTGGCTGCAGCAAAGAAAGGAACTATCTTACAAAGCTTATACAAAGCCCTGTAAGCAAGTGAAAAGTATTTAACCTTTTTCTGCCTATAGTATTAATGTATTTGTTAAGGTTACCTCTTAAAAGAAAATGCAGACTTGTATAAGGTGGGCATGTAAGATGTTGCAGACCTGCTATGAGTGTGTTGTGGCAGAAAGTGAAGGCTGTGTTCATTAAAGCCAGTCAAGCCAGATGAACTACCCATGTCAGCCAGTCTCCTGTGAGGGAGGTCTGTGCTCTTAGGAAAACAATCTCTCCTTCCTTCCTGAATTTTGACAAACAAATGTGTGCTTAATGTCAACTTGGATAGCTATCATGGAAGAGGGTTATTAAAGCCACACTGTTTCAAAGGAAACATATATATGCACAGAGTATGAGGTGAATCTGGTCTTGAGCAACATCTTGACGATAGTATGGGCTTAGGAGCCTGATATCAGGTAAACATTTCCCTTCGTCTCCTTGTTTTTTATCTGCTTCCTATCGACGGGATGATTTTTTTCCTTTTTTTCCCCTTTTTCCACACCCTCTTCCCCTTTTTTTTTTCTTTTACTATTACAGTTTCTTTTGTGGAAGATTAAACAAAATACTGTTTTGACATAATTCATGGAGTCCCTACCACAGATAAGCTTTCCACAAATTTTATGTTCATGTCCTATATTAAATAATTAAATTTTTAGTAATTTCATCCCATTTGTATAAACTTCAGATCTCCCAGTTGAAAAGGAACAACGAGAACCTCAAAAACCACCTGGCTTTGGTAGAAGCACTACGCTTGGAAGATCTGAAGATACTACAAAAATCAGCTGAGATTCTTTGCAACTTGAATATGGCAAAAACTTGACACATCTGGAGCTGTGATAGCTGTGGCTGATTGGAGCTCATTTGCCATGGATGTGCCTTGCTCAACTGTTTTAATGGACCTGAGCAGCAAAGAATAATGTAAAAAGTCATCAGAATATGCCTAGTTTTGCCTGTCACACAGGACCCAGAGTCTTATTTTGTTCTTTGCTGATCTTCAGTAATATGAAAGGTTAGCCCAAATGGTTGGGGGAGCACAGGTGGCTTTCATCACATCTCATTTGAAGTCATGACTGCTGTGAGCAAAACTGCTTCTGGGGTAATTTGAGCAGCCCCAGGATTGTGGGCTCCAGCAGTCCTAGACTTTACAGCTGCCTGTGTGGCTAAAGCGGCAATCATAGGGTCAAGCAGGCACTCCTCAGCATGTATTTGAGCTCTGGCCCTTGACAGAGAGGAAGAAGACAGAGTCACTTATATTTGCTCAGTCCTCATCCTTTACTTTTTCCCTGAGATATGTACATAGTCCCCAAGACTTGGTGGTTCATGTATTGCCTGTTCATTGCTGGAGTAATAGATGCAGACTAGAGCACAGATCAGCTCTATTGACCAACTCCAAATCATTTTCTTCGCAGTTTCAGCCCAAGTGTTTCTTGAACGTATGGAAGTGTGAGTTTCCCTTCTTTGCTCTCAAAGCTCCCTCCAGACTTAGTAGTTCGTGTTCTGACTCCTGCTGGGAATGAGAACTGAAAGGATGTATTACTTTGAACTCTGTTTCTTGTTTGGAAGACCACCCAGGCAATTGATTCTGTTTCCATTCAGTTCTGGTGATCACATTGAGAAATGTTCCTATCCTGTCTACAAGGGGATAGTCTCATGAGCTGCCTTTCAGTATTAGTTCTACTTAAGTAGGGAGCTTGAGCTCCCTATGTTGTTTAGAGAAGAGAGAGACTTCTTCAAAGGGCATTTCAGGGCAGGACCCTTATTTAAGCTGTATAAACTTCATTTATATTTGTGATTGTGTTGTGATTGTTTTCCATTTTGTGGGGAATCAGATTTGATAGAATTTTTCATTACTATTTTTAGCATTTTTTAAGAACTGTGTTTTTAATAAGTGTTTATTTTTGTAAATATATTGCTTCATTTTCTGTAAGACTTCTCTATTTTTGAAATAAATTGTATAAAGCAGTAAAGGCATTCTAGCTAATGATATAATTTAAGGAAAAAATGCAACAAGTGAAAAGTGTTAAGTATTGAAGCTCAAATGCACTTTCAGACTTTCTTTGGTACCCTGTGAACAAGAATGTTATTGTGTAAACTTGCTTAGATTTGAGGATTCCAGGGTTTTTCCCTGCTTTTTTTTCTGCCTCAGTCTATTTGGGACAGGAAATATCTTGATACCTGAAGCTCTGAGAAGGGCCCTTCCTTAACTGGAAGGTTATGTTGGTTTAGGTTCAAAAAAGTGTAACTGTTTGCTGTTACTCAGTTTCCAAACCCAAAAGTTCTTGGTTTTGAGGTACCCTCTTCATAACCTGTTCCTAGGATTAGGAAATTCTGAAAATAAGCTTTTTTTCTGCCTTGTTTACCCTAATGCACTGAGACTGTTTTGTATTCTCAGGCTTTCTGTATTGTTCATATGGAGATGCTGACAGCATGTGGTTACTTTACATTGCAGAGCAGAAGGCAGGGTGAATGGATTGGGAGAGGAACTGAAGTGCTTTCTGGAGCTAGAAGTACATTTATTACGTCCTTTGGACCAAGTTACTTTCATATTTGGCTAACTGTGGGTTTTAACCCTGCAACTCACTTGGCACCGTATTTTATACTTTAGTCAGTCCCATTCTGAAGTACCTCCTGGGATGAGATGACTCTCTGGATTTGGGAATGCAATCTCTACTAATCTCATGGAGGGTATTTCTCATCAGCTCACGTGAGGGTCCTTCTGTACCACTGAACCTGGCTACAGCAGAGAGATGAATGGGGCTGAGACCCTGACCCTGTGACTGTTGCCCATTCATTTTGATTAGGCCTGCACAAAGGTCTACAGAAGTCATGGATTATATGAGGAGGGTGGATCGTGACTGAGCATTCACAGTGCAAGAAGTAAGGGCTTTCAAAGGAAGCTTGAAGTCAGGTTCAAAACTAACAGAATGTGGTAACAAATCCATTGATATTACTAAGGAATATGGATACAAAAGTTGACACGGGTGCAGAGCCCATACACATGGGAGACAGAGCTGTTGGCAGTTACCAGCCAGACAAACAACTTTGGTCTTAGGTAGTTCCCTGATCTCAAAATACTTGAAGGTTGGGAGGGTATTGATGGCAAGTATTGTATATGCTTGACCTGTGCTTGCTCTTTTAAGGTATTGGTGGATAACTGTAGGAAACAGGGTACTGGGCTAGAGGGATCCTTGCTTTGAATATGTCCTGCAGTTATGATGATTACAGTTGAACTGTTTGACCTCTTACTTTCTTTTAATAAAAACTTTTTCATTCTCTAAGAGCAGATGTGTTTCTCATTTTATAATTTTATAATGAGATGGTACCAGACTTAAAGAAGATAAGGATGTTTGGTTGTTTTTTTTTTTTATTTTGCTTTTTTTCTGGAGATGGCTGTTTAAAGAACAACTTCTGTATGATGTGTCTTGCAAGATGGATACTAGTTTGACAGAAGTTTATTTGCTTCAGTATTGCACTGTAGACTACACATTTATACCAGGTGGTTTGAATATGGGCTCTGCTTCTGTAACTCCTACATGCCCTCCCAGGAGTGCAGGAAGGGGATCTGGCAGTGCAGGAGAGTAGGCAGTATGAATTGCTTGTCTGTCTCTTGCATGTAAGCACAGCAGGAAGCCCCCAGCTTTACCTTAAGCACTGTAGCAAGTGTTCTGAATAGAGCCATGTGTGCTTAATGTCAAAGGCAAAATCCTGCCTGAATAAACTATGGAATTGGAACCGGTGCTTTTGTAACACACATCAATAGGAATGGATTTTTAACAGGAATAAACCAGTGTAACACAGGTCATGATCCAGCATTTATGTGTATATATATGCCTAATCAGCAAAAGCTTAAATTCTTTTTTGAATCAAACCTAGACTATCTGCAAGACAGGGCATACTAAGCTGGGCTAAGAGCTAGGGTGCCTGAGGAAGTAACTGCACTGGGAGTGCTCTCCAGCTGTTACAGAACACTAAATCAAGTTTTCAAAGAGTGAAGATGCTTACTGTCAGCCTCTACTTTAACTAGAGCCCCTGTGAGCCGCAAACATCTTAATCGCTTAGCTTTAGTGATGTGCTGTTAACATTTGACTCTGGCTCTCTGTTAGTCTAAGAAGGGATTTAGCTATGATCTTAGTGTGGAAAGATATACTTTATTTCCCTCTTTGTATAAATTTCCTTTCAGATCATACCAGCAAATCTCAGCAATAGTAGAAATAAACCCCAGCTTTTACCATTAGCAATACAAACCTGGTATAGACATGGCAGCGAGCTAGATTCTCTTTCAGCTTGTGCAGTGTTAGAGAGCTCAAGTAGGAATGCATTCTGTGACTGCAGTGAAGACACTGGGTTTGGGTAGGAGCAATGAGAGAAGCTTTATTTCTTGTGATAAGCGCATGAGACAGAAATAGCACAGTTTTTTGGGTTTTGGCTTTTTTTTTGAGGGGGTAGTTGATTTAGTGCAGTCTGTAGTCGCTGAAAAATGATAAACATGAAACCTCATGACAATATCTTTCTTGTGTCAATTTATGTAAATACAGTATGGATTTTCTTTGATCTTCTACAGAAAGTGGCTTCTAGTTTACAGTTTTCTTCAGCTGTAATGTGTGGAGATCATCCATCATTGGTAAGTGCCTTTAGATCTGTCTGTTTCAGGACAAGATAAGGGAGATCAACTCTCATACCCTGGTAATTAAAGCTTTTAGGTACATTATGAAAACATTTCAAAGATGACATTCCCAGAGAAAGAGCTTTTAAAAATGATGTGTCCCAGGATATGTAGCCCCTCCCCACCTAGAAGGTAAAGAATACCCCTTTAAAAGTGCCAAACTTCAGCATGATTTGAAGTGTTTGTTTGCGCTCAGTGTATCTATGACTACAGTGATGAAGATAATGAACTCTAGGACAGAGGGGAATTGTCCCAACAGAACTTTATGGGTTTCTTTACACAATAAATATGAACTAATGTTGTTAAAAGATTGACAAGTTTTCCCTCACTTTGAACTAGCAGTTAGATCTGAACCATGTGAAATTCATGATTTTTATCATTTCAGTACAAAAACAGGGAAATCACAGCTCAGTGGCTGAATTCAACTAGAAGAACTTGATTTTGTCCCTATCTAACAAATCTTAGGTGGCATCAGTCTGCTGCAGGTTGGAGTGGAAAGAAAAAATTACATTTCCAGTTCATTCCACTGAATATTTTAGTGGATATCTATAATTCCAGAATTAAGTTTTAGAAAGGACTGCAATGAGCTATATTCAGTGGAAAATCAAAGATACTCAATGATCCCCAAACTAAACTGTGTAAAACTAGTGTAAAACTAATGCAATCTCTATGTTGTCCACTAGATGATGCAACTGTACTACAGAGAAATAAGAAATTACAGTATATCCACATGCAATTATAATCCTATTTACTGTATTATATTTTTAGTAGTAAAAAGTGTTGTCTTCAATGATACACCATGGTTGGTATTAGACAAACAGTTGAAAAGGTAGTTTTCTTTCTGCTGGTTTCAAGTGAAACTTGAAGCTTTGTAATCTTTTATCTTTTCTCAGTTCTATTGTATTTTAACTTTGTTGGATTTGCTCCTTTCTCAGGTTGAATAATATTGTTCTTCCCTGAAACTGTCACCCGAGACATAACTAATAGTTCAAATCATCTTTGTTACGTTAACTTGACCCTAATGGTTTAGCTAGTGGGGTTGCAATGGAGAAGTGTCTGCTTGTGTTTTTTCTTCAGAGATTAGGGCCCAGATTAATCTTCTGCACAGATCTCTTTCAATAATGTCCTTTGATGTGGCTGATGATTGAACTCTGATTGAAACATTTCCTCTTTGTAGGGTGATTTTGTGGACCCTCCCTTGTGCTAGTTCTCTAGTGTCTAATAGTAATAAGTTGATGTTTGACCCTTTCCTTCGCTGGGGATTTCTGCACTGCTCATTTTCATGACTTGTGTCTGCTTATTACTTTTGATGCGTGCTTGTTGCCTTGCTCATTTTCCCAGGGGCTTCTGAAACAGCCAGTGTGTGTGTCTACTCTGCATGTCCTTAGAGCCCCTTCAGATTATCCCAGTTGCCCTATGGCTAAAAAGAGGAGTGGAGGGATCTGCTGCTTGCAGAGCTACTGTTTTCTCCTGAAGCCCTGTCTCCTGTTCCTTAGCTCTTTCTCCGTGCCTCCAGTGCTGGACCACACTGCAACATGCCAATCTTGAGAGCACTGAAGTGGACTGAGCTCTAGTACCACCCTGTGCATGGCAGGAGGCAGGTATTTGTAGTGCACTTTTAATGCAAGAATGTTTTTCCTCTTTACACACACCTGTACTTGTTCCAGGTCTAGCAGGGCCAGCTGTGTCATGTTTTACCTCTCCATGAAGATGCCAGAGTTGGGCTGGAGAAATTGTTAAATGAGCACTGTATCCCTTGCAGATATATCCAAGGGGCACTGGATGTGCTATTTTAGTATCTCCCTCCTGCTGGGGCTGCTGTGGAAGGAGCTGGCAGTGGCAGCTTGGCTCTTTTGACCCTTGGCAGGCAATGATGACTATGGAGAGGACAGAGGGACAGTCTCAGCATGAAGCTGGTGCCATGCCTGTCTGTACCACCCTGCCTGGGCTGGCATCCAGAGCCTGTATCTCCATCCCTAAGAAGCCAGCCCTCTTTGCAGCAAGAAAGTGCCAGTGAATTTGTGTATCCTTCCCATGAGATGAACTTTGCATGGACAGAGATGCTTGGTGTGGGTGGGCTGGCCTGTAGAGGATGTTGGCGAGAGATCAGAAGGGACCATGCCATCCCAAGATGACTCATGCTCCTCTGAAC